CCAAAGTGTAAACCCAGAAATAATTGATAGGTGTTCCAAAGAGTAAAAGAATTTTTAAGGTAATTTTTTTTTCAAATGAAGATCTGCTTTCTCTTCCTTCAAACTCCCTGCTCGCCTCCATGAGAAAACAAAACAAACCCCCTGGTATAAACATGTACAGTACAGCAAAACACATTTCTGCATTGGCCACTTCCAAAAAAGTGTCTCAATCTGCATTCTGAATCCATCAGCTCTCTCACAGGAGATTGGTAGAATTATTCATCACGAGCCCTCTGGAGTTGGATTGGTTATTGTGACGATCAGGGTTCCTAAATCTTTCAAAGAAAGCACAGAAGCAGTAAATGTATGGTAGTGTATAAAAGCCACATAGCTATAAGTAAGTGAGGAATGAAAATAAAATGATTAATATTTTCAAGGCTAGCTTATATAGGAAACCTACCAGAACATACTGAAAGCACACCCTCAAATTACACAAGGTTACCTGGAAATGGCCCAGGGATGGATGATTGGATAATATTTCAGGCCGATAGAAATTTTAGAGATCTTCCACTCCAACCCCCTCATTTTATAGATGAGAAAAATGAGGCAGAGAGAAATCAAGCAACTTGCCAGGGTCACATAGCTAGTCAGTATCCAACGGGGAATTTGAACCTCCATACTCTCTTTTCCAAGTCCAGTTCCCATCTTCACAAACTCAAACCGAAATGGGGCCACTGAACAATATATATGAAGCCATGCAGGTGTATGTTGACTTAGAAAACCACATACTAACATTTTCTATGTTTCATTATATTTTTATTTTGCTAAACATTTCCTAATTACCTTTTGATCTGGTTTGGCTGCACTCAGGAGTGCTGCAGCCACCTGTGGTGTTTAACATTCTGCACTATAATGTGCTTCTTCTGTGATATGGTTTAAACCCCAACCACTCCAAGAGTATGTGCACTTGGGAGGATTCTGAAAAAAGAAAAACGCTAGATTTTTAGTCATGCCTAGATATCAATCTTATATAAGAGTGATGCACACCATGCAGCTCAGAAGAACATTATTTAAAGAAGCTGCCCTCCAAAGTGGCAGTAATTATTATAATTGGAGCAGTGATTACTTTAGTTTCCTGCCAACACATGTACTTTTTAGAAGGAAAAATCATTTCAAAGACTGTTCCTGAATATTTTTTTCTCTCCCTCTTTTTAAAGATAAACCTAGTACATAGTGTATATGGGTAAGCTTTGAGAAAATATTTTTAAAGGGAACACAATGGATATGAAAAGTATTGAAAAGTATTATAATGAACACACAACATAAGATCAACATGAAAGTGCCTCCAGTGGCAGAATAAAAGGCATGCTTTTGATCATTCACCCTACTGTTGTAATGTAAAATGGAGGGTTTGTAAAATACCGAAAGAAAGATTGAGACCTCTCAGAAGTTAAAAGCAAAATTGTTTTCTGCCATTCATTCATGTGGAGTAGCTCTTTATTTTTGAGGACTCTCCACAGAGCAAAATGTTTCTGTTCCTGCTGGGAAAAGCTGAGAATATATTCTTATCTTTGTTTAGCTTGCAACTATTGAAAGCACCATCGAAGATAAACAGTGTTTATTTGGGGGCTGTACAATATGGTTATGTAGTTTAAATTAGCACTTCAAGGGGAGAATGTTTTTGAAGTGCAGCTCCAAATGAACAATCTGTCTTTCTTTACCACTGACCGGAAAAGGGAATTTTAAAAACTTCAGAATAAAATCAGATTTTGTTATAACGGTAGTAGCTACCTAAAAAGTAGAAAGTTGTATTTTTACTTCTGATACCAAAAATTATCGGATGTTAAATGCAATTGTGTGTAAAAAGTACACATTGATGAAACTGCTTAGATAATTGTATCATTAGAAATTAAGTCACTTCTATGATGATGCTCTTCTTTGCAGCCTAGTTATCAGGGAATGTTACAGCTGCAAGGGACCGCATAAATCATCTTGTACAAACTACTTATTTTACAGATAAAGAAACTGAGGTCCTGAAACTTTAAGTGACCTTTTCCTAAGTCACATGAGTAGCAGGTAGAAGAGATGGAATTCAAACCCAGGTCCTGTGACTTTCTACCATCCTATGCTGCCACTCTAGTAAAGCTAAATCATAGAACAAAACCTTTTTCTCTTTCTAGTTCCATGAACCACTACCACAAGCAGATTCTTGCTTGGATGGTATAAATTGGTTGTTGATGACTGATTAATACTTAAAAGTTTTAGTAATCACTGCAACCAATTTCTGGGGCTTAGATGTGGATTTAGTTGGTATAGGCCTTGGTAGAAAATTTTGTAAGAGACTTTGTAGGAGACTGCACACAACCAAGACTGGACCTGCCTCTTGTGGGAGATAAAGACCGATGGAAGATGATTCCACCTGGTCAGTAGATGTTTTTCTCGCCAATTGGGTCTTTCTATTGAAGCAGGTATCCAGTTGGGGACTTTCCAGAGAATGTTCAACTCTGTGGTTTCCTTGTCCTTCCTGATTCTGGAGGACTCTTTTTGCTAGCCAGCATAACTATGGACCAACCACAGTTTTAGTTTAGTTTGCATCCCTGGACCTTATGTAACCACCAAACTGTATAAAAAGGTGCTCTGATTGTAAAATGTATCTCTGATCACTGAGGAGTCACTGACCTCTATTACTGGCAACTGGAGCCTTGCTAAAAGATTATGCCTGGATTTTTGGGCCTCAGTTTCTCTTCACTGCATATTTTGATTGAGACAATATACATCTAAAGAATTCTCAGTGAACTTTGCAATTCACAATGATAGTGGCTTAATTTAAGGCATCCCCCCTCCTACAAACTAATATTAACATGCATGCAAACTTTTAAAAATACATATTTTTTTTGGTTTTACAATACCTAAATTTTCCAATGTATCCTTTTTTTCCTAGAGAGCCATCCCTTATAACTGAGGGGAAAAAATCAACGTTAATCAACATAGCTCCAAATCTGACATTATATCCATGATTTGCACTTTACTTCCTTTTATATACTATAAATTCAGCTATATTGATTTGTCATTCTTCATAAATGACACTTCCATTTCTTCTCTCCATGCCTTTTCACTAGCTAAGCCCTGTGCCTGAAATGTTCTCCTTCCTCATCCGTGATTCCTGAATTCCTTGGCTTTTTTCAAGACTGAGCTAAAATCTCTTTCTGCAGGTGATCTTTCAGGGTTCCCATCCCTCTGTCACCTCCCTCCCCATTATTTTCCTCTGAGATTACATTCTGAGATTACCTGAGATTTTCTTCTGAGATTACACTGTATATTATATATATCTCATATGTATAAATTGTGGATTTTTGTGTTAATGCTTAAAAGTCACATACTGCTAGAGGATGTTCTGGAAACAGAATTTCTTCTACATCTTTAGTGTAGTTGTTTGTACAAACTAGACAAGACAATCACAAAATAAGACTTAAGTAGGCAAAAGTTTCACCTATACCCTCCCATCTCACAGATTGTCCACATCTTATTTCAGGTGCCTAGTTTTCTCCTCCCTTAGCCCTGCAGATTCGTCTTAGGAGAGGCTCTGATCTCAGGCATTTATGCTTAAAGTTACACTAAAGTTTATCAACAGCCAAAATAGCTAGATTGGGAGAACATTAGACCGAAGATCTAAAGGTACCTGGTTCGATCCTGAGTTTTGGCAGAACTTTAGGATGGCCCAGGTGGCACAGTGGATAGAGTGCTGGGCCTGAGTCAGGAAGACCCAAGTTCAAACCTGACCTCATACACATTAGCTGTGTGACTCTGGGGGGGGAAAAAAAAAAATCAATGTTTGCCTCAGTTTCCTTCTCTGTAAAATGAGCTGGAGAAGGAAATGGTAAACCATTCCAATATCTTTTCCAAAAAAAAACCCCAAATGGGATCATGAAGAGTCACTGAACAACAAAAGTTGATCTATTACCTCTCTTAAGCATATATGGATTGTAGAAAGCTAGGCTAAGGGTTTTTCCCCCTATTAATGAATGAACAAAGCATTAAGGGCTTACTAGGAGCAAAGCAAAGTATTAAACACTAAGAATATGAACAGAAAAGTAAGACAGTCTCTGCTCTCAAGAAGTTTATATTTTAATGGGGAAAACAACACACATGGAAGATTTCAGCTTCAAGTCATATAGAAAGGTCTCACGGTCCTTAGAGCACAACAGCAGATGGCAATAACTTGTCTTTAACTTCTTTTCACTGACAAAAGGTCAGTTTCTAATGCTGAACCATATGACAGTGCCAAGAACTTTAGGGACAAAAATTCCCTTTTCCGGTCTTTAATAGATGTGACCGTAGCACCTGCTAGAGCAGTTGCCAATCTGCATCTCCACATGGGTTGCTTCCTACCCTGCTAAGCACGTTTCCCTCCCGTTTGTCTCTTAGGATACCTGCTTCAGCTGAGGTGGTGTGCCTGGCCTATGAGTAGCTGTTGGTAGGGATGGCTGGTCTCTTGTTACAGATTCTACTTCCCTAAGGAGGAATGGGTTCAAGACCAGTGGGGTGTTACCACCCCAAGGCTCTTGTGCTTATCTACCTGTTGGGGGGCATTTGGTAAGCAGTTATGCTACAGTAATTTTATGTCCAATCTGGGATGCAAGTGGAGAAGGATATTAAACCAAGTGTACTTTATTACCTTTTATAAATTCTCAGATTCTAACAAAAAAAATGCTCTCAATGGCACACAGGCAGTTGTTTTGAGCTTGTTATATTTAAACCAATGCACAGAAACATAGGGCACAAGAGAGAATTCTGTTAACTGTCACCCAGAAATGGGCAATATGCTGCTCCACTTCTAAACTGAAAGTTTTTTAAGAGGTAAAGTTGTGTTCTTGCTTTCATGGAGAGGAGAAAAAGGAGAAAAGAGCACACTTCTCTTCCTTTTGTATTCTCTTTTTTAAAATATAAATAATATTTTTCCCCCAATTACATGTAAAGACAATTTTCACTCATTTTTATAATATTTTATATTTTAATATTTTAAGTTCCAAAATTCTCTCTCCTCCCCAAGAGGGCAATCTAATATGGGTTATATATGGAAAGCACAATTATAAAATGTTGCCTGGGGTACACTACCTTGCATCCTAAATAATGAGTAAAATGCATTTACTGGTTATCTTTATTTTTATGGAGTAGTTCTTCATTATCTTACTATGCTCCAATCCTCCCAACAAGTTTATTCAAACAAATGCCTATGTAACAAAACAAAATATGACTTCTGACCTCCACCCAAAAGTACCAATATAGCCACTGGATAGCATCTTGATGGGAACTGCTCTGTATTTGCCGAGTTACTCCTGGACATTATTTGGGATTCTAGAAGCAACAGTATCCAAAGGCTGCCAGTGACAATTCATCAGGGAATCATAGAGCTCTTCACTTCCCACCATAAACTCCTTGTTCAGGTTCTCAATATCCAAGGGAATCTGTGGATCTGCAAAAGCCAATAGTGCATGAAGGCTGGCTAGTTTTACCATTAAACAATTAAGTAGCTGATACTTTTCAATGGTTGTCCCAAAATAATTTTAAATAAGCATTTTGTAGTCTTTAAAAAGATAGACTAAAAATGTGTAATGTGGTCAAATAATAGGAAAATCAAAGTTTAAAACACCTTTTAAAAATAAAATGTTTCATTTTTGGAGAGTCCTCACACTTTTTTTTTTTAAATAAAAACTCTCACTTGTATTTACAACAAACATTCTTTTGTCTAAAACTTAAAGTGATACATTCTTAAATATATTATTTTCAGATATTAAACTTCCACTTTCATGATTAAATAGTAACTAAAGAGCAAGAAACTCTGAGATATGAGTAAGATGATTATTTCTTTAACTCAAGATACAAGACTGAGTATTTTAATTTGTCACTGGCTACCTAGAGTCCCCTACACATTTCGGCAAAAATAGTTTTAAATCTTCCCACATATTTTCAAATTTTCCCCCTTATGCAGATCTCTCCTGTCATTAGAAAAATAAAAATAACATGTTTTCCTTTCATCTCATTATCATCATTGTCCCCACCCAAGCTCCCACTACCCAACCTCACACACTTTGAAATAGCAGTAAGTTCTCACTGGGAAAAGCTATTTTTGCCAAGTCAAAGAGGAACATGACACTCACTGCCATATTCTGAGCTAGTAGGGAGAAGGAGGGGGAAGAAAACCCCCCAAAATTTAGCACCATGTATCAGTAGGGTTGGGAGGAATCTTAGAAAGCATCTAATCCAACCCCATCATTTTGGATTTGAATTTACTATGACAGAGACAGGCAAATTGACTTAACCAATGTCACACAGCCATTTTTATGGTAGACCCAGGATAAACACCCCAGTCCTCCTAGTAATCTGGTATTCTTTCTATAGTTTTATCTTAAATACTGAACTCTGGCTTCATAACAATGATTATACAACATCACTACATCCCATTCAGCCAATACTTAGTAAATATGTTGTGGATTACACAAAACTAAGCAACCTAATACCTGATGAAAGTTTTGCTTTCTAACTAATGTCCAACACTACAACAAGGATCACTTTAAAATACATTTTCAATCAAAGCAGCAGATAGATTAGCATCACCATTACCTTCAGTTTGCTCCTCATCATTATTTGTAGTCCAAGCCTAAAATTAAGCATGGAGATCTTAAAAGAAAAGTTACTACTATAAGCCTAATTACTTAATAATCATTCATTTCTCTATAAAATTTTTCTGTTATTTAAGGAAGGCAGGAATCTGAGGTTTGAACCCATGAAAAATTACAACATAGGTAAATTATAACCAAGAAAGGGGAAAAAAAAATCCGTGACTAGATAGCAACTTTTTTCATCTGTCCAATGAGGAGGGACCAGATATGATTGTTAAACTCCTATCGCAATTTAAAAATTCTTACATCTACCTTCTAAAAAAGGCCACATATTCTTAAATACACTTTCCCTACAAATAGGTTGCAATTTTTAAAAAAATGTTGTTACAAAACACTGTGAAAGGTAGAATGACCTTTTCCAAAGCCATAATGATGAAACATTCCGAGTAGCTGAAATCCGAAATACTAACTTAATTGTAATTGTTCAAGCTCAGTAGAAATTTACCATAAAATTATCTTTTGCATAAAGGTAATTGCATTTTCAACTTATTTATCAATGAAATGCTTTTGGTAACTAACTTCACTCTAAAATAGAAAAGCATATTGGAGTATGAACTTTTGTGTTTGTGGAATAAAGTAAATATTTAAATCAGGGGAATATAAAATATAGTGAATTCATTTAGATAAATAATTACCTCTGACACAGTCGGAATTCCAGCTAGATCTTTAGTGTTCTCCTTTGCTGAGGAGACATTCTGAACATTCTCATAAAATATAAAGTTATAGTTATATTCAAAATATGGTTCAAAATCTGACTGCAAATAGCAGGTTTGATGCTGTTGGTAATAGGTACCACAGTTGTCAAGTTGTAACTCAGCCTTCATCCTAACAGAGAACAAAATCATGAGAAAAGGCAACACGGCATAGTAGAAAGACTGCTGGCTTGGGGGTCAGAAGGTTTTGGTTTGCATCTCAACTCCTCTACCTCTGTGACCATGGGCAAGTTAGTATACTAACAGGGACTCAGTTTCTTCACCTATAAAATGAGGAGTTGGACAATAATTTCTAAGGTCTCTTCAAGTTTCAAGTTTAGTCCCCTAGAATAAGTTACAAATAACAGCACCCCTCTCCCTGCTAAACAGTTACATTTCTAATTTTAAAAAATCAGTCCAAAATGATTTGTTTCATTTGTTTCAAGAGACATTTTTAAAACATTTAAATGGCCAGAAGTTACATAAGACCTAGATCGCATTATAACATCTTTCCTTTTTCTTTGTAAGTAAGAAAAGAGGTGGGGAAGGAAAAGGAATCTCACCTTTGCCAGTACCAGAAATAATTGCTTTGTTGGGTTAAATCAAAATCTAAAGAAGTAGAACTCCTAGCCATTGATATTGAAGCTCTGGTTTTAAATAATAGCAACAAAGCCAAGCAAAGAAGTTGCTTCCTTGACCAAACCCTCCTGGCTTTCTGAATAAATACTGCAACCAATTCTTGACAAACACCTGCTTCAGAATTAACTCAGTTGTTTTCACTCTGATTAATTGCAAAATTCTCACTCTATACAACTTTCCCACAGTAACAGGTAAATGAAGTCACACCATAGTAATAAACAAAAATTTAAGGCTAACTCTACAATTTGATGTTTATCTCCTTTCAAGTCTTCTGATAGGAAATTAAACAGGAAATAACAGTACCTTTCTAGGGCAGTTTCTGTATGTGGTTCTGCTTAGTTTTTTCCTCTGGTTGTAATCATTATGCCATCAAACTTGCTGTAATATTTGGCAGATGAAGGGAGTATGTAACTGATGAGTACAAACTGTTTTCTGGTCATGTCTTGCAAAGAATAGTAAAGGAGTAAAAAGAATCAGCAGCTTTGGTGCTATTAATAATGGGTGGCACAGTAGTTGCAACTTAGATTTAAGAGAAAGGAAAGAGAAAATAGAACAAAATTATGAGAAGATATGAGTTAGTGTGGTATAGTGGAAAGAATGCTCTTTATAGGGCCTCAGGGCCCTGGGCTCATATCCCAACCCTGTTCCTTACAATTTGCTTTCTTGGATCAATCACTTAATCTTTCTGGACCTCAGGTTTTTTTGATACATAAAATAAGGGATTAATTCATCAATCCTTTAATGAAAAGAGGTTATTCATCAATTAACAAGCTTACTGAATGCCAGGCACTGTGCTAGTTGGTGTATAAGATCCCTTCCAATAATAAGTCTATGATCCTATAATCTATAAAAAGAATTAAATCTATGGAACCAATAATTTTTTACAAAAATCCATACAGTGTTTCAATAGAGAAAAGACTGCCTACAAATTTTATTTGGTAATTAATGGTGATAGAAGTGGAGGGTTCCATAATTGTCTGCCAAGACAAACACAAATTATTTTTACCAAAACATTCAATTGTATAATGTTTATTACATTTAAATGTAAATTACAAAAATAATAAATGCAATCAACCAGAGTTCAGGACCTTTTTATAACTTGAAGGGGAATACTACAGATTTGTTGTTTAAAACCAAATTCCTAAGAATGAAAGGTAACACTCTCTAAAATTCTCCATCAGAAATTTAAGTGGTGATTGTTTTTATTTTTGTGACTTCTTTGGGAAATAAAAGAGGATCTGATAAATACATACATTTATATCAGTGACAATGAATATGAAATAATGACCTTTATAGGCCTTTTGCAAAAACATACAGGGTTTCAAAGTATTGTTTTATTACTATAATACTCAATAAGCAGTATTTACTCTTGCCTAAATATAAGTGAAAACAGAAATCAGGTCACAGTACTAAAGAATAACTGCAATTTTAACAAAGTAAATGGACCAGAGATCAGAGTCACTCTCTGTTAACATTCTAAGCCCCATTAAGTGTGGTGAAAGTAGAAAGTGGCCTAGATCTAGACTCAGAAGTTCTGGGTTCAAATCCTGACTCCTTTAGCATGAGTATCTCTGAACCTTGCTTTCCTCCTGTGTAAAATAGGCACACCATTTCCACAATAACTTCATGGGATTGTTGTGAGAAAAATAACACATTGTCAACATCAAAGTGCTGTAAAATTTGAATAATTATTTTATGGTCAAAATTACACTAGTTCAAAAATCTAAAAAAGTTCTAAATTCTTTCATACTTCATGTCAATTGAAGCCATATATCATAGAATTTCAAAAGTCCCTTGGAAGAACCTTGAGAAGGCGTATGACCAGTCCACCTTCTCCTCCCCCATCAGTATCATTTTATCAACAAGTGAAACCTGAAGTCAAACATCTCCTGAATATCATAAAACCTTTTCTGATTATTCAAAAGAAATCATCAATTATTTAACTCCTCAGTTTCTAATCATGAACTTTCCACCCCTCACTACTCTACAAAACGCATTTGTTGTTCAGTAGTTTTCAACTCTTTGGGACCCAATTTGGGGTTTTCTTGGCAGAGGTTTACTATTTCCATTTCATTTTACAGATAAGGAAACTGAGGCAAACAGGGTTAATTGATTTATCCAGTGTCACACAGCTAGTAAGTGTCTGAGGCCAGATTTGAACTCAGGAAGATGTCTTCTTGACTCCAGGCCCAGGTGCTCTATCCAATTGTGCCACCTAGCACCTGTACAAGGTTATACAGTAAAATGTAAGCTCCTTGAGAATAGGAACTTGTATGTAGCAAGAGCTTAATGATAACTGAATTTTAATTTTGCTAATGAAATTAAAGCCCTCTCATTTCAGTAGGTTTAAAGGTATAAAACCATTGAATTAACATTACTGAAACTTTAAAAAAAAGAATACATATTGTCACAAGTCACCAATTAATGAGCTTATTTTTTTCCAAAATGATGTATTTATTCAAAAGAAAAGTTTATATCTAATGATAACTAAGTGGTTCTTACCCGCTACATTGAGTTATACAAAGCTTTACAGAGATATATTTTGGGCCAATCCAGCTGAACAGGTATACCCATATATATTCGTTCATTTGTGCTTTTTTCTTTCTGATGATGGAAAGCTTGCTCTTTTAAGTAGTTATAAAATTGCCCGTGCTAACTAATGAAGTGAGGGCAGGTAGGTGGAGTCTAAGTTCAAATCTAGCCTCATACACCTACGAGCTATGTGACTCTGAGCAAGTCACTTAACCCTATTTGCCTCAGCTCATCATGTGTAAAATGAGCTGGAGAAAGAAATGGCAAACCACTCTAGTATCTTTACCAAGAAAACCCCAAATGCAGCCATAAAGAGTTGGAAATGACTGAAAAATGATTCAACAACAACAAACTAATGAAGCAAAATGCTTTTTCTTTTATCTTTTTAAAATCTTTATCTTTTTTAAACAGAATTTTTAGTACCAAGAAAAAGTCACGAAAGGGAAGTCATGGGTAAGGAAGGAAAAATCTTGTAGCATTTCTTGGCAAGCTTTTTCTTGACTCTTTAGTTACTTTGTTTCCAGACCTCACACATATCCTATACAGGAATTGGATAAATCAGATTTGAGGGTTAAGAGATGGAAGGAAAGCTAAGAAAAATATGGAGCTACCTTCTAAATAGTTCCGAAAGCCAGAATCAACAAACATCTAAATGGCTATGAAAAACACTGTAGTGGGCACTGTGCTTTAACCCTATACCAAGAGCAACCTTATACCTTAACAGTTAAAGTCCAGCTAACCTTTTAAGCTGGTCTTTCTGCATACCTACCCCCAAAGAAAGGTCCCCTATTCTTCAGGCTTTGTTTCCAATTCCTCCCTAGTTTGAGCTCTGCTTCAAAACGTAGTGTGAAAAAATTACCTGGTTCAGGCCTCAGTTGTAAAGGGCATTGAGTCATAGGGTAGGTATTTTAAAAATATTTTTTGAAGGGCAGATGGTAACCCTGGATGGTAAGATCTGGAATCTTTAGTCAGGTGAACTACTCTGGGATTTAGTGTCCTTATTTCTTAAAATAAGAGGTAGTATGAATAATATGACTGAAATGACTTAACAACAACAGTATGAATGAAAACAACTTTGAATGACAGCTGAAGTCAGACTGAATGCTGCTGGCCAATACTGGTCCCACAGGACAGCTAACATTTATATAACATTTTAAAGTATACAAAGTGCTTTACATAAACTAATCTTATTTGATCTTCACAATAACCATGTGAGTTTGGTACAGTTATGATCTCTATTTAAGAGATGAGGAAACTGGTTGTTTGCTCTGACTTGTCCACAGTCCCATGGCTACTAAGTATCTAAGGCAGGATGGAACTCTTTTTTTTTTTTGCAAGGCAATTGGGGTTAAGTGACTCATCGAGGGTCACACAGCTATCGTCTGGTCTGACACTGCATTTGAACTCAGGTCCTCCTGACTCCAGGGCCAGTGCTCTATCCACCTCGCCTCCTAGCTGCCCCCTGGAACTCATTTCTTAACGTCTCCAAGTCTACCCACTTGGTGCGGGAAGGAGTTGGGGAGGTGGAATTGAGACTAAAGCAGAATGTTGCAGAAATAATCTGTCAACTTCTGATAATATATAATGCTCCTGGGGACAGGGATTATTTCATTTTGTCAGTGTAACTCTAGTGCCTGGCACACAGTAGGTACTTAATAAATTCTTATGGACTCTGCTGTAACAATCATTTTTTGGTTAACTATTGTGGAGAATTTAATTGGCTGGGGAGAGAGGTACTGGTTTTTGCTTGTTTGTTTTGGAATAGATGTGTGATTTAATTGATACAGGGAACTCTGATAAGGAAACTTAAGAGAGAGTTGCCTGGCACACTGGCTAAGTGACTTCCGTAGGATTCCAAAGCCAGTGTTAAAGTAGAAAGAGGCCTCACTCTGGATTCAGAGGGCCTGAGGTGGCCTCTTGAGTTCCTTTGTTGACCCACGATCTCATTTAAGTCTGACTCTGAGGTCAGTCCTGTGTCCACTCCCCTACGGAGCCTCTCCCTTAGGTAATGGCTGTGGCAATTAAAAAAAAAAAGGTATCAGTGAAATTTACCAACAAAAAGATATGGGTGAATAAATAAAAAAGCGAGTTTGTATTACATCACGTCTAGGCCCCCTACCAGCCCTAGGGAGAGACGGGAAGGTCATACAGCCCTTGGAACCTCAATTCCTCACATTTAGGAGATTTAGGGACATAAAATCTATACTTACAGTATATTTTTAAAAGTTAAATTCCTGCAAATTCGTAATTAAAGTGATTCCTAAAGGTCAAAAATCCTTAAAACCGCAAAGGAAACTGACCAAGAGCCGTGAACTTAAATCAGGTGTCCAGCGGGAACCGACTACGCTCCGCTCCCCGCCCCGCCCCCGCGCCTCCTGACCCCGCCCCCTGTCCAGGTCCTCGCCCCGCCCCTTATCCCTCAATCAGGCCCCGCCCCCACTCTCCGCCCTTCTGTTCCCGGTCCTCTCCCCACCTGTACCCGTACCCTGCACCCGCGCGCTCCCGCGGTCAGATCCTCTCTTCCCCCCTTCCCGCTCGCCCCCCCCCGCTCTTTCGTCACGACGTAGCGGAAGTTTCGATTCTAAACTAGCATCACCAGTCCAACTCTATGACACACCTTCTGTCTTCACTCCCACGCTTCTCAGGAGGTCCTTCCATTCCCCTCAATTGTCATTTTCAGAGTGGCTTTCTTTACTTTATCTTGGGAAAATCCATGGAACTGTGTTACGTGAGGAATAGTGTTGACTGAAACACAGGCGCATAGGCAGACAGCCCTGCATTGCCAGTGACGTCAACCGGGAGCGCCGGCGGGAGAAGGACCCTTTCGTTCCGTATATTAGGGTTCTTGAAGACTCGCGTGCTGGCCCCGCCTCCGGGCGCCGCGCTCCGGAAGGAAGTGGGGAAGGAGACACGTGCGCGTGCGCGGCAGTATGGAGCTAGTGTGCGGCTGCTACGAGCAGGTTCTTTTCGGGTTCGCGGTGCACAGGGAGCTGGGCGGGAGCGGCCAGAGCGAGGTGAGAGCGGGGACGGCGGAGTCGGGGTCAGGGCTGTGTCCCTTGGGCCTCGAAGCTGTTGCGCTCGGGGTTGGAAGCCAGGGTTCGAGACTCCCTCAGTCTCCTCTGCTTGACAGCCTGTACTCGGAGCGCACATGGACCGAGGACTGGGCGGGGGGGGGGGGGGGGGGCAGGAGACCCAAGCTCATTAGTCCTGTTGAAAAGCTTCAGCTCGAGGCTGGGGTTTTACAGGAGGAAAGAGGGGGCCCATGGTTCTGTGGGAAGAATTCAAATGGGGCAAATCCATTCTCTCCAGTAGTAATCAGAGCTCCCCTTTTTGTAACATCTTTACATTTGCAAATACCTTCGCTGACAAAAATCCAATGCATGCAGCTGTTAATTTCCCCATTTTACAGATGAAGAAACCGAGGTCAAGAGAGAAAATTGCAAAGCTACCATTCTACTAGAAATCTTAGGAATCCCAAGAATAGTGTTCTGTCCACTGCCAGTTTTGCCATTAGGTCCCCTTATGCACAGTGTTTGGCACTTATTAAGCACTTAATAAATGCTTCCTTTCTGACATATGCAGTCCCTCCCTGCCTCTTCTCTCCCCCCCCTCCCCGTTTCACTTCTCCCAGTTATAATTATATAGATTTTTTTTTTCCTCCTTGATTTTCATATTTTTTGTCTATACAACTCAATGCCATGCTCTTATACTACCTTGTATTATTTACTAGGTTGTGAGTTTTGTTTTTATTTTCGTTTTTTGGTGCTAGATTTCTCTCTGTGTTTTAAGCTTCTTGAGCTACTCCTAGCAATGTGGCATACAGTGTCAGACCACCTGAAATAAAAAAACTCTCAGCCCCCCAGAGGAATGGTCATACCCTTAATTTTGTCATCAACAGTTATTGTTCTGCCTTTAGGATCCAGAACTCTAAAGTTTCACTTTTAGACCATATCCTGTAATTCTTTCATTTCCCCTTCCTCACTGCTTACAATTATTTCCTAGTATGACTTGTACTAGTCATTTAACTTTTCTCAGACTCCATTTCAACATTTGCAAAGTAGTGATGATTTCACTTGGAATACCTATCTCATGATGTTTTTGTAGTATACTGTATTAGAAACTTTAAGGTCCTATATAATTGAACTGTTAGTTTACCAGTTCTGGGAACTGTCCTTGGTTAGTGTTCTGTTATGGACCTTATGTTTGGGAATACTGCCTCAAGTACCCCATCTAGAATTTTTTGAAGTTGTTTATCAAAAGAGTATTCCTTTTGTCTGACCTGCTTTCAATTAAGCTTTCAGTTTACCTCACAGAAATTTTGGGTGTTTTTGTGAGAGAAGCTGAGTGACTCCCTAAATCATGACATTCGAGTCAGAAGACATGCTTTTGTGACCTAACTGCCCCTTCATAGCCTTGTAACCATAATGTTTGATCCTGTTTTATAGAGTGGTTGGGGGAATCAAATCAAATGACTTTTTAAAAAGTGTTTTTATAAACGTTAAAGTGCTTTTTAATGTAAATCATCCTCAGCCAGGCTTAATGTGTAAAAATTGTATGGCAATGAACATTGCCTCAGTACTGCTAGGTTAGCTTTAAGGCATCTTCATTGGTGTCAAGCCATTTGTTATTTAATGGGTCTCATAGTTCCCTTAGAATATATGTAATAGATGTAATTGCCATGTAGACATAGCATTCACAAACCTTAATAGTGTTTGGGAACTTTACTTAGATAAGTAGATAGTCAGAACATATATTAAGTACATGCTATGTTCTAGGTTCTGTGCTGAGATCTGGGGATATATATTTGTAAGAAATTAAGATAATCCTTGCCCTCAAAGACCTTACACTCTAAGGAGGAAAGATAGTATATCAAGGACAGCTGGAAGGGAATAATAGTACATGTGAGATGACATAGTAGAAATGATATGGAAGCCTAGTTCTAAGCAAGATAGGGCTAAAGCTCACCTGTCAAAGCCTATCAAATCATATATTTGGAGGTGGAAGGGAACTCAGAGGTCACCTGTGCTAGTAGCTTCATTTTTACAGGATGAGGAAACTGAGTCCCAGAGAGGTGACATGACATGTATGGGCAGAGTCCAAGGTTGGGAGGGTCAAGAGATGAGGATGATGGCTAGAGAATCTTCAGCGTGATGAAGAGATGGCATTAGTGCCATACTTTGTCTGCCAGCTTTTTAGATGACATGCTGGTCTTCCTTATTTGGTTATCAGTTTTTTGTCTGGTGATTGTGTTCATTGATTTTTAAATTTTTTTTTTTGCTGTCTCTGTAGCAGGAGTCATTTACAGCTTGCATTGATCATTGAAAAGAGGCTATTTCTTTGTCAAAGTTAATCAATATGACCATTAATATGTGCTGTGACTATAGTTTTAGAGTGTGTCTTATTCACTTACAGAAATGGACCCCTGTGGCTGACTTCACCCACCATGGCCATGCTGCCTCCTTGTCAGCAGTAGCTGTAAATAACCGTTTTGTGGTCACTGGAAGCAAAGATGAAACAATTCACATATATGATATGAAAAAAAAGGTAGAACATGGAGCATTGATGCATCATAATGGTAAGAAAATTCTGTCTTTTCCAATAACTATATTGGTATTTTGTGTTGTATTTACATACATATCAGTACCTCTACATTAAAATATTTAATAGAACTATAAGTTTACCTAACGTGAAGTATTCAGGAAGGCAGCAACATCAACATGGTTGTTTCCTTTAGAACCAGAGGTTCTTAGAGTTGATGTAATATATCTAACCTTTTGTGTACTAATTACCATTTACATCAGACTGTGGCAGTTTAGTTCACTTGCTTTAGTAGTAGTTAGCATTTACATAAAGCATTAAGGGTTTCTACCTGCTTTACATATGTTATTTAATCCTCATGACACCCCTGGGAGATAGGTTCTATTATTATACTTTTTATAGTTGAGGAAACTGAGATTTAGCAAGGTCAAGTGACTTGCCCAAGATCACACAGCTTATAAATGTTTGAGTCAAGATTTTAACTCAGGTCTTTCTGACTGCTGGTCCAGCACTCTATCCATTGTACTACCTAGCTGCTGTACTTTTGAAAGACCGTGCTTATAAGGCCACAGCTCTGAATTCACCATTCATTTCAGGTGTTGTTAGGTAACACAGGAAACAAAAAAGTTTCCTAGTCATGGATTTCTCCACTTTTCTCTAGCCAGTGATTTATGCTCAGAACAATTCATATCCGCTACCACATTGGGAGAAACCAGTGATAGGTTTATATATTTGGAACTGGAAGGAAACTTAGAGGTCACCTATGCCAGTACCTTCATTTTTACAGGATGAGGAAACATTCCCAGAGAGGTGACATGACTTACCAAAGGGAAACAGATAACTAAGTAGAAGAGCAAGGATTTAAACCCAGGTCCTTTGACTGAATCTAGTGAACTTTCTACTATAATATACTTACTCATTATTTAAACTTAAAAGTGTCAGATCAGCACTTTTGAAGTAAAACATGATGATAGGTGAAGTATTTAATTGTCCCAATTAGTAGTTTCCAGTTTTAACAGTGCTAACTTGTTAGCATCTCATATATGTACATAACATTATAAAATGGAACTTTAACTGAAAAGTATAGTAATAATGTAATTACAGCAACTTTGACTTTCTTTTTGTTGATAGGCACAATAAATTGCCTGAAATTCTTTGGTAACGGGCACTTAATTAGTGGAGGAGAAGATGGACTAATTTGTGTTTGGGATGCAAAGAGATGGGACTGCTTGAAGTCTATTAAAGCACATAAGTGAGTCTGAGCCTTTTTCCCTCCATTGGAATTCTTAACTTGGTAACTAAAATTGGATGCTGAACTATTTCTTTTTTTTTTAGGGGACACGTCACTTCCCTTTCTGTTCATCCATCTGGCAAATTAGCACTGTCAGTGGGAACAGACAAGACATTACGGTAAATAATAGTTAACCAAATTTTTAGTTATCAGTAGTAGAATTAGTCATTGTTCTCCAAGCAAAACAAGTAATTTTTACTGCGGCATATTTTACTACCTTAGTTGGGTGCTTGTCTTTTGTATGTCTTCTGTGTCATAACTATTAGTCTTTTAAAGTTATATTGATGTGAAGAAAAGTTTTATAGTAATAATGAAACTGTTAAGATGGAAACATCATTCTTGGATCAACACCTAGTAATGTGTTTGTTATTGTGAATATGAAGTGGAAATGATGACGGACACTGGATCCACCATATTAAAATTTTCCCATAGACATTGAAGCAAGACACTCTTAAACAATAATATTACGGGGTAATAAATTCTTCAGATATTGCTAAAGAAGACTGTGGGTCATCTGAAAAACTGAGATGAACTGTTTTTAACAAAATAATATATAATTTTCCTCTGTGTTTGTTTTGATTAACACTTCATTGATTTAGCTTCCTGTTAGCATCCTTCAAACATTGAGTATTTGTTAAGCATTAGTTGTAATTATATTGATGATGGTGCCAAAAAAACCTTGTTTTATAGAACATGGAACCTTATTGAAGGAAGATCAGCATTCATAAAAAATATAAAACAAAGTGAGTATTCTGTTGGCAGAATGTTTTTGTTTTTTAAACTTTGTGTTATCTTTTTTATAACAGACATTTCTGCTTAATAGCAACTCTTGGCCTCCTCCCCTAATTGAACTTTCCCTTGAAACAAAGAAAAACATTTAAGTCAAAACAGTAGACATATCAAGCAATATCACTGTGTGTATCACATTTCATATCCATATAGTCTCCCACCTCTATCAAAAAGAGAGGTGTGTTTCATCATCAGCTCTCTGGAACTGAGATTAAACATTGCAGTTAACCAGAATTTGTATGTATTAGAGTTGCTTTTGTTTACCATATTATAAATATGACTAAGTTTGTTCTTCTGATTCTTAACTTTGTATTTCATCACTTCATACAAGTTTTTCCCTGAATCTCTGAATTTTTCGTATTAGTTTCTTAATAGTGCGAGAGGACCATAGATCTAAAGTTGGGGAAAAAAATTCATGTGCATTTGTATGTCACAATTTATTCAGATATTCTCTCATTGATGGACTTCCACTTTATTTCCAGGTTTTTGCTATTATTTTTAAAAAAACTTCTTTGAATATGTTACTTAGTTAATCTATTGGGAAATGGCTCTTGATTTTATATTGGCAGATTGTGTTTAGGTATAGTTAAAGTAGTTTTGTACAGATTGGCAATTTTACCTGAAAAATTATTTATGGCGGTAAGAAGGAGCAGTGTGGTGGAGTGTAAAATGTTTTGGATTTGGAATTGGAGGACCTGGGTTCCAATCCTAGCTCTTTCACCTGACGCCTTAGTCATCTTGGGCAAATCGGTTTTACTTTTGAGCCTCGTTTTCCTCAACTATAAAATGAGGGTGTTGGACTATATGACCTCTCAGGTCCCTTTCAGCCCTAAATCTATGAAGTTACTTTGGTCCTCTATTTTCCTAATTTCCATAGTGAAGTTTGTAGAAATAACTATTCTATTTTTGTGATTTTTATTCATCAGACAAATATTTCTTTAATTACTTTTAAAACTATAGATGCTCACATAGTTGAATGGTCCCCTAGTGGAGAGAAATATATTGTTGTCACAATAAACAAGATAGACATCTACCAACTTGAAACTGCATCCATTACTGGTACCATCACCACTGGAAAGAGAATTTCTTCTGTTACATTTATTTCAGTAAGTACATCAAACTAGCTGTGGAATTCTCAAGTCTGTGTGTATGTTTGTGTTTTCGATATTTAGGTACAGTATCCTATTTTTGATTCTTCTTAGGATTCCATACTTGCTGTGGCTGGAGATGAAGAAATTGTAAGGTTGTTTGACTGTGATTCACTAAAATGTCTCTGTGAATTTAAGGCTCATGAAAACAGGTATTTGCTTCTTAACACTTAAGCTTATTTCTTTTTTTCCTCCATGTGGAAGTGTCTGTGTTTATACTTAGATGTATATGTATTCACGTATTCATACACATTCATATCCCCAAGGGCAGCTAGGTGACACAGTGGACAAAGTGCAGGACCTGGAGTCAGAAAGACTCTTCTTCCTGAGTTCAAATCTGGCTTCAGACACTTACTAGCTGTGTGACCCTGGGCAAGTCATTTAACCTTGTTTGCCTCAGTTTCCTCATCTGTAAAATGAGCTGGAGAAGGAAATGGCAAATTACTGCAGTATCTCTGCCAAGAAAACCCCAAATGGGTCACAAACAGTCAGACACAACTGAAAAATGACTGAACAAATATATACTCCTTGTCTTTTGAGATCAGAGATTTTAAAAATATATTATGAAATACTTTGTGGCAGTAGCTGCTATGGAATTTTAAAATGTATATGCATATAAAAATGTATATTGCAATACCTGCAGTTATAATGATTAGTAACTTTAGCATGACATCAATATAAGTGACAGTTTCTATAATAGGATGGAAGGAAGCAAGCATTTGTTAAGTGCCCTACTTTGCTCACTTCAGTAGCACATATATTAAGTGCCTACTATCTGCCAGGCACTGAGATAAGAGCTTTACAACTATTATCTCATTTGATCCTCACAACAACCCTGGGGGTAAGTGCTGTATTATCCCCATTTTGCAACTGAGGAAACTGAGGCAGACAGCATTAAAGTGACTTGCAAAGGATCACACAGCTAGTAAGAATCTGAAACCAGATTTGAATTAAAGTCTTCTGACTTGTATATCTACAGTACTAGTAGATCCATCAGTGGATCTATGATCTCACCAATGTGGGTATTGCCTCCCTCCACCTGTGCAGATTATAGTATCTCATTTAAAAAAAATACATATATATATATGTGTATATATGTGTATACACATATATATATATATGTATACACACACACACACACATATTTTAACTTATGAATTCTTCCTACTACCCTCTTCCCAGAAAGCCATTACTAATATCAGAGTTAAAAGGGTGGGAGTGGGTGGATTGGGAAAGGAAACAGTTTAGCAAAACTGACTGACACAAAAAAAAGTCTGATGTTATCTATAGCGTTCTATACTACTTTTACTACTTCCGAAAAGAAGGAAGAGATTGGGGCCAAGCTTGATCACTATAATTTCATAGCATTCAGCATTGATTTTTTGTTGTTGTTGTTCTTTCCATTTACATAGTTTTGGTTTTCTATTTATTTCACTTTTTTAATGGTATTATTAATACTATATCCATTTTGCATTTATTGTGGTATATAGTGCAAGTATTGGTCTAAACCTAATTTCTGTTAGACTGCTGTCCAGTTTCCCCAGAAATCTTTGTCAGACAGTGAATTCTTTCACCATGACCAAGTTGGATTTTTATCAGGGATGCAAGGATGGCTCAAAATTAGGGGGAAAATTGACATAATCATATTAAAAACAAAAACATCCCCAAACTACATGATGCCTTTTTTTTTTTTTTTTTGCTAGGCAATGGGGTTAAATGACTTTCCCAGGGTCACACAGCTAGGAATTGTCAAGTGTCTGAGGCTGGATTTGAACTCAAGTCCTCCTGACTTCAGGGCTGGTGCTCTCTCCATTGTGTCACCTACCTGCCCCACTACATGATATCTTTAATAGACATAGAAAAACCTTTCACAGAATACAATACTCATTTATGCAGAAAACCTTACAAAGCAGTATATATCTCTTTCAAACCCCAAACAAGCATTACATGCAATGAGAAAATAATAGCTTTCTCAATGATGTGTAAAACAGTGATATCCCTTTCCCCCTTTTTTCTAGGGATTCTGGCAGTAGCAATAATACAAGAGAAAAAAAAAAAAGATAGGCAAAAGAGCAGATAACAACCCCCCTTTTACTGATGAAATGATTTATTTAGGAAATCCTGTCAACAAAGAAATTATTTCAACAATAGCTTCATTAGGGTTTCAGGATTCAAAATAAACCCATAAAAATCAACAGCATTTCTGTATAGCAATTTTTTAAAAAATGGGAATAATAGAGAAGTCCCATTCAAAATAAGTACAACATGCACAAAATATCTGGGAACCAATTTGACAAGGCACCTGTGTAGATACATTTTTAAAAAGTTTTATTTAGATGTTTTTACATTTTATATATTTACAGATACTTCCTACTTTATGAGAGATGTCTTATAACAAAGTAAAACTAATAATCCAGTGACCTCATCTGAAAGTGCTTGTGACATTTCACATCTGTAGCACCTCTCTGGTTTTAGAAAATTAATAGAAATCTATTTTCTCTCCCTCCCACTCCTCACTTTTTTTGGGGAGGGAGGAATTCTTGTAACAAATATATGCATTCAATTTTCCCTCAAGAGTTATATACGAAATAAATGTTTTGTGCCTTAAATCTCTCATGTCTCTAATGGAGAGCATTTTTTATCATCAGTCCTCTGGAATCATGAATGGTCATTGTATTGATTATAGTCCTTACGGCTTTGAAAGTTGTTTGTTTTTACAGTTATATTTACAAAATGCTCCTCAAAGACATAAACAATTTAAATCACTGGAGAGATATTCATTGTTCATATCTGAGCTATGTTGATATAACAAAAATGACAATACTACCAAAATTAATCTACAGATTTATTTTTAAACCCAACTACTAAGGTGGATACTTTACAGAGCAAACATCATAACAGAATTATTTAGAGGAACAAAAAAAAATCTAGAAAATCAAGAGAATCAATGAAAAGAATGAAATGAGAACAGCCCTCCTAGACCTCAGACTAGTTATTAAAATTAATTTGGTTCTGACTGGAAAATAGATCAATGGCACTGATCAGGCAAGGAGGTACCAAAGGTACCATACATTTTGTGAATCCTCCAGAGGAATTCTGCTTGCTGGAGCCTGTCCTCTGGTCTTCATTAATATTTTGAGGGACCAGGACTGCTCAGCTATTATTTCTCACTTTTGCTTCATAATTGCTTCCTTCCCCCCCCCCCACCATTTTTCTGGTCACATGTGCTTTCCTTGATGCTAGTTTTTCAGCATTGGCAATATGTTACTACCTAAAGCCATGGCATTGCACTCCTGCAGCCCCTGTTACTGGGGAGGCTGAGGCCTGTGGATCACTTGAGTTTGGAAGTTCTCAGCTGCATTGTGCTAGAGCTAATTGAATGTCCTCATTAAATCCAGCTCCAGTAAGGTAAGCCCCTAGGAGAGGGGACCACCAGGCTGCCTACTGAGGTGGTTTCTGGCCTTGTGAACTCTTGTTCACATTTGGTCACTACTTTACCTCTGTTAAATGTCTCCTAAGAGGTCATGATAAGTAGAGTCAGTATTGTTAGTTTTATTCATTTTTTATTTTCATGGTCAAATGGACATACATACCTTGTTTCACATGTTTCTGACTTTATCCCTTACATCCCTTACACTCTAACCTCTGATGATGATATGGCCCTTCTTTTTTGCCAAGGCTAGGTCTTGTAGCTCAAGTACCACCTTCAGCCCTTTTTTACCCCTCCCAGGGCCTACTGCCACACCCTTTAAAACATTGGCGCTGTATTTCTGTAGTACTCTCTGGGTAAGTGTGTCCTGACATCCCATTCAAATGTAGCTCTTTGAGCTGAGGAGCTCTTTGTCATCAGATTAATTTTTTCTTCTAGAGTAAAAGACATTTGCAGCTTTGAAGTCCCAGAGCATCATGTTATTGTTACAGCATCAAGTGATGGCTTCATCAAAATGTGGAGGCATAATCCAAATAAGGTCAGTATGCTAGTATAATACAGATAGAGGTCAATGTAATAGGGCTCTCACTGGGGTTTTGGTTGTTAGTTTTCTCTTTATCTTGCCAAGTCTGAACCTTGACTCTTAATGACCCTATGACCTTTGTCAGCCATGGTACCTATTGAAATCTTAGTTTCCTTATCTGGAAAATAGGGATAATCCCCATAGGGCCAGGCCTGTCGATAGGCATCTTTCTAGCATGACAGAGTCAGGTGTACTGATAAATGCTTTTATTTATGCTCTTTTATGAATCCATCTAAATGCTAGAAAATTTAACTCGGTGGTGTGAGGGAGTTTTGTAGTATGAATATGTGTGTGTGTGTGTGTGTGCACGCGCGCACGTGCTATACGTTTATTTCTGTGGAGGGCTTAGAAACCCACCATAAGACACAGTGGACACAATTTTCAAACGGCCTAGGAACACACATGGTTTTTCCCATTCTACATGCCTGTCCCACCTATCAGGTTGCTCATGAGGCTCAAATGGGGTAGGAAATCACCGTAATAAAGTATTAGGCAAATACAAAATATTACAGCTAATATCTAAAACAACTATGAATCTTATTGTTGGGAAGTGAAATTACTTGCATCTGAAGTTCTGTTATTCTGTGGTATTTGGCATTTTTTACATTGTAGATATATTTAGCCTTTGGGAAGTTTTTAGAGTTAATTATTGATTTCCATTAACACTATAGATTTTCAGAGCTAAATGAGTAAATTCAGTGGCCCAGATGTGAATTACCTTTTTAAAATTCAGAGAGGAAAGTAATAAACTTATGAAATAAACTTTATTAATATTGTGTTAGCCAGAGGCATAGAAAGAGAAAGATTTTAAGTATGTGGATCTGGGTTCAAATCCTGCTTCTGCTACTTATCTGTGTGATCTTGGGCAAGTCACTTCCCCTAATGTGGGCCTTGATTTGCTCATCTATAAAATAGGGGGTTAGGTGATTTTCAAGCCCCCTTCCACTTCTAAATTCTGGTCTGCACTTTTATAAACCACAGTGATTTTGAATAAAACTTTACTGAGGGGCACATATGGTGTATGAGATGAGTTGGGGACTTCATTTCTTTATCTTAAGAAGATTTTTTTCAAGTTTATATTTTAGCAACTCTAGGTTGTTATTTGTGATCTTTTAAAAATCCCATCTCACTCATCTTTTATCATTGAACCAGATTTCAAATTCCATAACTTTGAGGTAAAAAGGGAAGGAAAATAACAACAACAATAATACCTAGCATTTGTGAAGTGCCTGCTTTGTGCCAAGCACTGTGCTCAGCACTTGACAAATGTTATTTCATTTAATCCTCACAACAGATGTGGTACACTGTTATGTACAGTCGAGGAAGCTGAGGCACATGGAGGTTAAATGACTTGCATACGGTCACACGACTAGTAAATGTCTGAGTGGATTTGAACTCAGTTGCCTGACTCCACTCTATCTGCTGCAAAGGAGACCAAGGGAGGAAAAAGTGAATGGTATATGTAGTCAGGGCCACAGTCTTTAAAATCCTGACAGTAGGTTTTGTTTGTAAAGTGTTTTCATGTAATGTGTATAATTTCTAGTAATTTTGGATGTCATATCAGGTCACTTTACAAAGAACTGCAATGACTGATTCAACGGCTCTTCTTATGCTGGGGTTTTTGTTCCCTTAACTACTCCATGAAGTGAATTGACTTGTCACTTAATAGTCAAGACTTGGAAATGATAATTTGTTGTGCTTTATTATTAGATTGATGTATTTCAGGATTTTTATCCATGTTTTACTACTTTATTGTGAGGTTTTTACCTTTTATAGTTATGCAAATTCTAATGCTGAAATGAAAACCAAAAGAAATTATTTTTAAGTTAATGTTGCTTATGGCATAAAATCTTAAAGTCATACTGTTTTCTTAATGGATAAAATGAAAAATCTAATTGCATTAAAAGAATCTAACATTAACATATTTCAGTTTTATTTTCCTACTGCTTCAGAAGACTCCTCCATCTTTACTATGTGAAGTAAACACTAAAGCCAGACTCACCTGCCTTGGAGTATGGCTAGACAAAGTTACAGATGCCAAAGATCAGCTTCCTACAGCTGCAGCCCCTTCTCCTGGTAACTGATGATGATCACTTCTATTACATTTAAAATTTTGAGTTTATCTTTTGCAGTGGTTCTCAAAAGGTGCCCTGCTGTGCCTAGAGTTTTGCTAGGTGTGCCTTGAATCTCGAAGTGTCTGCCCTTAGCTGCAGGTTGCTGCCCGCTCCGTAGTAATTCTAACTTCAGAGGTGCAAAGCCACTGAGTCTTGGTAAAAGAGATTAAGAGAAAGGAGAGGGCCCAGCTCTGGGGCCTGATTGCCCAAAATCCCTTCTTTTTTGCTGACTTATATATTCAGTGTATCAAAATTTCTTGTGGCAAAGAATACTGTGCAGGAAGCAAATAAATTTTGAGTTCCACTGACCTATTAATGCAGATGTTGTACTCTAGATGAGAAATTGGTATATCTATTCTGAATTTCATTATTTAGATGATTTGTCTTGGTGTTTGGAAAAAAAAATCTTATTTTTTTCTTCACTGTCACTCTTGTTGTGTTTCAGTAAACAAAGAAGAACAAGAGTTCAAAACTAGCCCCCAAAAATCTGATGATTCAGCAGGAAAACAGCAACAATCCAAGAAATTTGGTTGGACTAAGGATAATAAAAAACCAACAAAAGCAGAAAATGTAGTGTCTGTCAAGAAAAGAAAATTGGAAGGTATACTAGAAAAGAAGAAAAAAAAGAAAGTACAAATCACTGAATAAATCTTTGAAAATTCAAGAAGTCTTTATAATGAAATCATTATTTCTCAATTTTCTCCTAATTATTTTTGTTTTTGAGTAAAAGTAAGGAATTTCTACATATGAGAAATTCATGTGGCACATATATGAAAGCTTCTTGTATTTTAGAGGTCTTAGTGTGTTAAGTGTATATAACATGGTAACATAAAATATGTAATATTTTTGTTATGTAAAGTAAATAATGTTTGAATTTACAAGCTTTTCAGAAGCCCTAATACTGTTCTTTTCAAATTCGAATGTAAAATAAATAGAGATGGAGATTTCCAGTGTGGTGAGAAATCAAGTGAAAAAATATTTTTTCAAAGTTGTAAAATTGTTATTAAAAAAAGTTGAAAAAGTTTGTAAATGATATAGGGAAAGGTAACATTTAAAGTATTGGTTTCATCCCTTCTACCAAGAGTGGAAACAAATCTTAGCTGACATATGACTCAGTATTCTCAACAGAGGTGAAGAGACACAGGACACAGTCTGCTCATTGCAGTGGAATTGCCTCCTAACCAGTTTTCTGACTGTTTTGAAATAGCAAAGTAAGAAAGGTGAATGCTTAATGCAGCTGCACAGAGAACCAAATACTTGAAGCCTATAAAGATGAACAGGGAAGCCGTAAGGAAAATGGATTTTGTTTTTAGTCTGATAGACAGAATAAAGTAAAAATTTTCTTAAATGTGAGTTATAACTTTTTTTTTCTTTGTAAGGCAAGGTTTAAGTAATGGGATGATTAAAGAACACTTTTTTTATGGGTAGGGTATGTTTATGTGAGTGAAATAAGAAAACCAGATACTTGGATTTGCAGTATTAGATTACATGAAAAAAGGATAAAGATGGCAGGAATAAAGTCTGAGAAAGCTGGCAACCTAGTGTGTTATCTGAAATTTCAGTCTATGCCTCCTGTGAGTTCAAAGGACTATACTTCTCTAAAGATGGAAGGTTATACCATACAGGATTCAATGTTAGTAAAAGTCCATAGGGGATTAAGGAGTGAAAGTTTAGCATGAGGATCAGGTTTATGCTAGTGTTTGCTGACTAGATACACAGAAGAAATTTACCCAAGTGATAACAGAGTCTTTGTTTGGATTCCATGTTGTGGAATTACCAAGCAGTCCTTAGCTATCTAAGTAGTTAAATCCATCAAGATGGCCTTCCTTTATATAGAATGATAGTCTGTAGTGAAAATTGCATGTTCTGCTCATGAAAATACAGTGTGACCTGCCCCATTTGAAACAAAAGTATTCCTTAGGGTTATCTAAGTGTGAGCAAGCTGAAAGTTTTCTAAGCCAGTTTATGAGAAAAGTGGCCACGGTTCAGGCCCTGGTTCTGCCACTTCTGTGAAACCATGAACAGCTTACATAAGCTTTCCATGTTCCCATTTCTTCGTCTGTAGAATGGGAGTAATAACTTGCATCGCCTGTTTCATGGTAATGTGAGGAAAATGTATTGCCATTTGGCTACTGTGTAAAAGCAAGCTATTGACTCTGTATGTGATATTTTAAAAGAAAGTTAATTTTTAAAAATAGGTATATTAATCCTATTAAGTGAACATTACAGAACCTCCAGTGCAGGAATCCCTTTTATATATCCCTGAGGTGGTAACTTAATCTCTGCATAAAATACTACTTTCTAAGGCAGCCCATTGCATTGTTTTACACCTATGTTCTGAAGCTCTGTTGATGAATGTGTACTCCTTATACTCTTTCCTGTTGCCCCTAGTTCTGCTTTCTAAAGCAGAAGACACTTGGAATGTGTTAAGAGAGCTATGGTGTCCCTCCTTACAAACACTCTTATCACCAGCTTCCAGTTTAGAATTATATGATTTAAAATTAAAAGTGACCTTAGAACTCTTCTAGCTCAATCCTGTCCTTAAATAGATAAGGAAACTCTACTAGCCAGAAAGTTTAAGTTACTAGTGTCATAATGTCAGCAAATAGCCATAGTGTTAGATTTGGACCATTTGGACTGCAAAACTGGCGTTCTGTCCTCTATATTGCAAAGCCTCATTCATAACTTCCATTTCAATGAGATGAGGCTGTGTCCTTGTCTTAGTAGAGATGATGTGGTCATTAATAGTGGATGCAATCGAATTCTGTTCAGTTCAACAAGCATTAATTAAATGCTGGCTGTATGCTTTGTATTATAATAGGTGTCAGGGATGAGGGAATAGAAACTAGACCTGTGATTTCAGTGGCATAAGGTACTCCTGGTCATCTCCACATTACACCCCTTGTATCCATCATCTTTATCCCCCTCCCCTGAACCTTGGATTTTGCACCTGAGACTCTGGGCTCTGACAGATAAGCATTCACTTTAACTCTTAGAACTGGGCCTCAATACAACTTTCTGACCATCTCGACATTCATATTGTCCCTCCGTTTTCACCTCCCCTTTATATGTAGTCTTCCGCATTAGACTAAGAGCAGAAACCGCCTTGCTTGTACTTGAATCTCCAGCACAAGTAGTGATAAACACTAAGCACTCAATGCTCTTCTATCCCTAGTGAGGGAACTCTTTACTACTGCAGGTGGCACCTTCTCTGCAACTTACAGCCTTTGAGTTTCCTGGAACACAAGGAGGTTTAAGTGACTTACCCAGAGTCAGAGGTGGAATTTGAACCTAGGTCTTTCTACACTGAGGTCAAATTTCTATCCACTACACTACCATAGCTACAAATACAAAGAAAACCTGTATGGAAACAATCCACGTGAAGGGGCTTAGATTCTGTTAGAGAGAAATCATATGTACACAGAAGATATATACTAAGTGACATCTGATGGAGTCATAGGGCAATAGGTTGTCATGCCCTCAGCAATGATAATGTTTAAAATTTTTATAATTTTTTTCCAGTTAAAAACTATTTCCCTCCCAACTAGGAAGAAAAAAAAAATCCTTCTAACACATATGCAGTCAAAACAAATTCCTGTATTGGCCATGTCCAAAAAATGTCTTGTGCCCCCTGAGTTCATGTTTCAGGAGGTCAGTTGAATGTTTTCTCATTAGTCCTCTGGAATCATGGTTGGTCAAGCAATGGTAATGTTTCGATTATCAATACTTGAGCAAGAGGGGAAGGCGTGCAATGTACTCAGCTATCCCTAGTCCTGCCTGATGATCAAGACGCTAATCTGTGAAGTCCTAGGACTTCGCTGACTATAAAGGGGTGAGGCAAGTTTGAGGGACTTAGTTCCAATTCTTAGGTCAGCCCTTGCCCACCTTGTTTAGATTTGAAATCTAATAGATACTTGCACATTTTTCTGTTGAACATGTTTTTAAAATCCTTTTGTGCTGTTTTTATATATAATCATTATATTTGAATACCTGTACTGTTTCTTTAATAAAATTGACTATGTTTTTCTAAATAGAGTATTTGTGATTTGAGGTATTTGTAAAGGATTTGTTTTTGGTAAGAATCATTTCCTTTGGGAAGTTGAAAGCTGGTTAATGGATTTTCCATCTTTATATAATGAGAATTTGGCATAGTGCCTGTTTCTCTTGGCTGTAGACATTTTGTACTTGTATCTTTGGGTGGCTTACCACACAGAGAATGAGAAGCTCTTTGATTGACTGTGAAGGCTCCAAAAGATCTGGACAGCTTCCACCATCCCTCTTGTTTCAGCTGCTCCATTTCTGGTAGTGTGACGGACACCTTTGCTTGTAGCATCAGGTGAGAGATCATACTTTAAGGAGTGGGGTCTTTTCTATTCTGAGGCCATATGGCCAAGAGAAACGGGTCTCAGTGCTGAAAGCTTCAGACAAGTCAAAAAGGATAAGGACTGAGAAAAGACCATTCGATTTGGCAATTAAGAGATTATTAGTAATTTTGGGGAGAGCAGTTTCAGTTGAATGATGAGGTCAGAAGCCAGATTATAGAGAGTTAAGAGAGTGAGAAGTGGAGATGCTGATTGTAAGCAGCCTTCTCAAGGAGTTGAGTCACAAAAAGGAGAGAGAGAGGGCAAAAGTTAAGTGGGAATGGAATGATCAAGGAAAGGTTTCTTGAAGACATGGAGACACAGGCAGCTTTGTAGGTAGTAGGGAAGCAGCTGATAAATGGGGAGAGATTGAGGATTAGTGAGAGTGGAAGTAATGGGGGCAATCTGCTGGAGAAGACAGGATGGAACTGGGTGGATTGTGGATGTAAAGGAGTTCAGTCACTCATTACCTCTTGCCTGGGCTATAGAGTTAAGATCTGAAAATTCTATAGTGCCCTAAAGTTTGTAAGACAGTTTACACAAATTACATTATTTGACACACAGATGAACCTTGTGAAGTAGGTACTCCATGTTCTTATCTACCTCAATTTACAAATGAAATGGAAGTTCAGAGATCTGTGATTTGCCAACAAGGTTAGATATCTGAAAACATGCTGAGAAGAGGCAAGATTTGAAGCCAGGTGTCTTAACTCCCAGTCCAGCAAGCTACACCAAGTTGCCTCCTAACTAAATATATAATTAGTCTGTCTAAACTACAGATATCATTCTTTTGAATTTTTGAGGTTGAAGGAGTTTGGGGGAAAAAAAACCCCAGCTATTCCATCATCTTTCTGGTTAATAGGATTTACACATTTCCCCATATTTCCTCCTTATCCTACAAGGCTCAGATCAAATCCATTTCCTAGATGTTTTCCTTGATTTGATTCAACCCAGAATGTTTTCTGTCAATTCCCAGAGAACTTTGCCCATCTCATTGCATTTTCACATTCTACCTTGTATTATAGTTTCTATGTACTAGGCTGTAACTTCCTAGAGAGCAAATGTTGAGTCTTTTTCTCCTTTGTTTCTACATTGTATACCTAACCTAATACCTAGCATATAGTAGGTACTCATATTTGCAGCTAGATGGCACAGTGGATAGAGTGCTGGATCTGAAGACAGAAAGATTCATTTTCCTGAGTTCAAACCCATCCCCAGACACTTACTAGCTGTGTGACCCTGGGCAAGTCACTTAACCCTGTCTGCCTCAGTTTCCTCATCTGTAAAATGAGCTGGAGAAGGAAATGGAAAACCATTCCATTATCTTTGCCAAGAAAACCCCAAATGGGGTCATGAAGAGTTAGACACAGCTGAAAACAACTAAACAAACAACAAATATTTATTGAATGAATGTCTGTCTTACCTTTAGGGAATTAATATGATTTTCCTTTCTTTTACAAAGAATGGAAATATACATGGTTTATAAATTGCATTATTTGCATTATAAATTGCTCTTAAAATGCTTACTGCAGCCTGATTTTTGGTTTTCTCTCTGGGCTTAAAGAAATTAGACAAATAAAAGAATGTAGTAGTAGAAAGGCATTAAACAAATTGCATAATACCTTATCCACTTATTGTTTTAACTGTGGTCAGTTTTTCATTACAACACTTTTTTTCATGACCCTCACCTTTTTGCCCACCAGAATGTGCTTATAGGATATAAAGGAACTTTAAGGAAAAGTACATTAGACAAGTTAAATCTCAAGCAAAACCTTAAAATTAATTTCAAAACCAAATAAAAATAATTTTGCTATTATTTATACTGCTACTCCCCTTGATTGCTATGGATAATTGAGAGCATAACACAGAATAACCTTTTTAAATGGGCACAGACAGGAATAAAGACTGGGCATCAAATACCACATGTCATCCAGATATTTATGCAATAGTTGACATAAAATTGCAGAATTTCAGAGCTGAAAGGGGCCTCGGAAGCCATTTAGGTCAAGCCCTATCTAAACAAGAATCCCTTTTACATCTATGACAAGTGATTGTCCAGCCTTTACATATATTCCTCAGATTCATTTTGACAGCCTATTCCACTTCTGGATAGCTCTGACTGTTAGGAAAATTTTCCTTAAATTAAGGCAAAAGCTGTTTCTATACAATGTCCATCCACGGCTCCTAATTTGGAACTCTGCCCCAGGGCCAAGCAGAGAACTCTAACTTTTTTCCCACCTGATCATAGATTCCATGTTGCATAGTTTGTATTATGAGTCGTACTTAAAACTTGCCACAGCCTGATTTTTGGTTTTGCCTCAGGGCTTACAGAAATTTAACAAACAAAAGAATGTTGGAGTGGAAAAAAAAAACCCAGATTGATGGGCAGAGGACCTGGGTTAACATCTCAGTCCTGTTATTATACTGCACATATGACCTTGGACAAGCCATTTAATCTATATGGACCTGAATTTTCTTATTTGTGAAATGTAGGGGCTAGACTAGGTGATTTCTAAGGTTTGGATGAGCTCTAAATCCTATAATCCTGATGCTCAAATTTTAAAATATGTTATTCCTTAGACAAGACAGTCGATTAACCTCTTTGTCTCTCAGGTTACATTTCTTCAAAATGAGGTTGGACAGGATAATGTCTCATGTCCAGGCCAAATCTCACGTTTTATGATTGAAAAGAGTTCTTACATTGGAAAATATTATAATTAGCTAAGTGAAATTCTGCCGACTTTTAGCAACTAGTATTATCTTCTTTTAGCACTCAAAAAAAAAAAAGCCAACAGCTTTCCTTGAAGCCTTTCTGGTATCACCCTTGAGCTCTAACCCTGAAGAAGACAAGTGATGAGATAGTGACAAGATCAGCAGTCTCCAGAGCAGCCTCTTGTACCATCTTGGTCACACCCAACAGACATATTTAGTGGTTTAGTTAAATAACTCACAGCTGAAGAGCCAGCAAATTAGATAGTCACCAGGTGTTAATGGAGCTAAAAGACAAAGAAAAGCAAGCACTTGGGTAATTTTCTTTTGGATTAGGCTGAAAGAAGTAGAAAAGTTTTTATTTGATATATGTGGAGAGGGACATAATAATGGTTTTTAAAGTTATTTTGAAACTTTTAAGAATAGAGTAGCCATAGCTACCATTTATATAGTGCTCTATCGTTTGCAAATCCTTTTTGCTTGTTATCTCATTTTATCCTTTCTACAATGTAAGAAGTAGGTAGTGTAGGTATTATTATTCCCATTTTACAAAGATGGAATCTGAAGCTCAGAAAATGTTAGTGACTAGTCCAAATCCAAGGTCCTACAAGCTATTAAGTGGCAAAAGCAGGATTAAATCCACAATTGCTGCCACCAATTATGTTGCAGAATATCACCAGCATGATGTGCTGTCACTTTAAAAATTATTCATTAAATTTTTTTTTTGTCACAGCTATTTTTAAAAAAATCAGAAATCCATTGGTGGCATTCAATAGCATGTTAGATTTAAGTCACATTTATCATAGAACAGACTTGAGTCTTTATGTACTACATTTTGAAATCAGAGGATCTATATTTGAATGGTCTCTTATTTTACTTTCTACTACCTACTTTCCCTCCCTGGGCCTAAAAGGAGGGGAGTTTGACCCAGCAGTAGGTACTAACTACATCGTGCTCCATTAAACATCTGAGGAATCCAATGCCATTATATAATAACTAACTCATTAATCCTCATAACTCTTTCCAGAAGTGGGTAGCTGGGTGACCAGGATAACTTTTTAGAATAGGGAAATCTTTTTTAGGTTACAAGTAAGCACGCTTCCACACAGAGAGAAGGAAACAGCAAACCATTCCAGTATCTTTGCTAAGAAAACTCCAAATGGAGTCATTAAGAGTCGGACACAACTGAAAATGACCGAACTTGCCCCGACTCATCTCCATCATTTATCTCACTCAAGCCTCCTTAATTTTTTTAAATTCAATTTTATTTTCAATTCCTAATTCTCTCCCTCACCCACTTAGAAAGCACTAAAAACAAAACCGTTACAAGTATATATAGTGATGCAAAACAATCAGCCCTCAGCTAGACAACACAAAATGAAATTTAATAAATAGCTGGGGGGAGGGCAGGATGCAAACATTTTTCAGCACGTGGCTACCTAATTTCCCCCCATTCCCCTCCAACAGCAGGAGGCTGTGGGCACAAGCTTTATTGCAAACTCTTTTTCTTCCTGTTTTCATTGTCTCCGGGTCTTCAAGATGGCTGGACGCCTCCTTGACCTCTGCCTAGGGCCGGGTTTTGGGACCTGATGGCCGGAGCCTGCTGAAAGGCCAGCCTCCGCGGCGGTGATTGGCCGCTTTTTTTTTTTTTAAAGGAAGGCTCTTTCAGTAACGCCCACGCGTTCTTCCCCGGAAGTGTTTTATTGTTGTGGAACGGTGAGCGTGCGAACGTTCTCGCTGTAGAACCTTCGGCTCCACCCGCGCCTCCCGCCCCAGCGCCCTGCTCAGGTTGGTTACGGACTTAGGTGTCGGCTTCCCTGCCGCGTTCCGTGTAAAGGGATTTAAGTGCATTTTACGGAGTTGTAAAGTGATGCGGCGTTTTGTTGGTTTGCTTTTTTTTTTGTTTTGTTTCGAGGTTTTTTTTGTTTTTGTTTTTGCATT